ATTAGGCAATTGCCAGATACAGTGGTGCATGCCTGTAATCCCAGTGGCTTGGGAAGCTGAGGCAGGAAGATTCCAAGTTCAAAGCAATTTAGCGAGGCCCTAAGCAACTTAGCAAGACCCTGTCTCAAAAGGGATAGGGATATAGCTCAGTATTTAAGCACCCCTGGGTTCAATCCCCATATAAATAAATGAATAAATAGGCAACTAACAATATTAAAACACTTACAATGTTGTATATGAATTAATAAAATGTTGAATTATTTAAAAATAATTCTTGTACCCACCGTAGTATTTAGAAAGATGGAGAGCAGGGGAAAGGAAGCTCTTTTCTGTTTTTTTCTTTTAAATACAAGAACCTGTCAGTAACTGTAGAAGGAATGATTCAATCACCACTTTGAAATCACTAAAGAAATCAGTGATTCAGACAAATATCATCAAGGAAAGTGCTTTGTACTGTGCAGAGATCAGACATCAAATAAGTGAGGAAACTGGCACCACAGATAGTGCCCCCCACCTGGCATGCTGTGCCTCTAACCGGTGCCATAGAAGTACACATCACCTCCTTCTACTGTCTTTGTAAAAACACAGAAACTCAACAAATCACAAAGAAACAAGTAGGTAATTAGAGATCTGGGACATTCTATAAGAGGCCTGGACTAAGGAGACATAACAAATTAATTATGAAATCCCAAACTGGGAAATAAACACCATACTCAGAACACCTGAGCCAATTTTAATATGAGTTACATATCAGATAACATTGCTATATCAATGTAATAGAAGTATAGTGTGTTAGAAAATGCCCTTGGAAATATAAGCTGATGCATTTGAAGTAAAGTGTCATGATACCTAATTTCAAATAGTTTGGAGCAAGAAACGGAGAACAAATGTGGCAAAAAGTTAACAAATGATGATGCTAGATGGGTATTCTTTCACCTTTGCTATAGGCTTGAAATTAAAAAAAAAATTGTAGTTGTAAATGGACAGAATGCCTTTATTTTATTTGTTCATTTATATGTGGTGCTAGGGATCAAACCCAGTGCCTCACACATGCTAGGCAAGCACTCTGCCACTGAACTACAGCCCCAGCCACTAGCTTGAAATTTTTCAAAACATTTTTTCAATAAATTGAAGGGACAGGCCAGGTGCAGTGGCTCATACCTCAGGAGGCTGAGGCAGAAGAATGGAAAGTTCAAAGCCAGCCTCAGTAATTTAGAGAGGCCCTAAGCGAGACCTTGTCTCTAAATAAAATGCAAAAAAAGGTTGGGGATGTGGCTCAGTAGTTAAGTCCCCCTGGGTTCAATCCCTGTTACAAAAAAAAAAAAATGAAGGGACGTAAAAGGAGACAGTGAAATGCTCTAAGGGCTCGGGAGCCCTTAGGAGAAGAATGGATAAAGTTGAACCAAGTAGTTATCACAACAAACAAATGGAGTTCCTATCTTCCCTCTCTGCCTTCACCTGTGTCCAGGTTTGGGGAAGTATGTTCATCTGACTTATGTTGGCATAATGAACTTGGTATGAAGCTGGTTTCTTTCTGAATTATAAGCTACAGTGAAAATTTCTATTTCTTTAAAATAATTACTTGGATATAAATATTCAAGTGCTGAATTCTATTTAATTGACTCTCTAAAAACTAAATTGCCTTGCTATTAAACAGCATTCATTGATATATGCCTCTTTAAAAATATAGGGCTTTCTTGGACGTAGTATTTCAACATCTATCAGTTCCATTAGCCCTTTCTGAGCTTCTTGAGCATCATAAGGTCAATGAATTTCAGCAGTTGCCTGTTATAAATGAGGCTCATTGTGGGGGGGGATGTAAAATAACCTTCTGGAGATCATACAGTGAGTTGGTCACAGAATTCCAGAAAAGTGTAGGACCCCAACAATCCTACCACCTGTTTTAATCATGACACCCCAACATGTCCACAATGGGATTGATAGAGATGTAGAAATGCCATTATTTCAAAATGCATTCTTTAAAAAATTATTTTTAATATATTTTCTTTAGAATTGGGTTTTCTACTAGGCACAATAGCGCACTAAGAAGGCTGAGGCAGGAGGATTATAAGTTCAAGGCCAGCCTCAGCAGCTAAAGCAAGACCTTTAAAATAAAAAGGAACTGGGGATTTAATTCAGTGGTAAAGCACCCCCGATCTCAATTCCCAGTACCAAATAATAATAATAATAAAATTGTTTTCTTTATTACAACGAAACCAGACTGATGTTTTATTTTTGTTTTTTGTCACTACTGTTTGTCTAGTAGCCACAGGCCCTTCCTCTAAATAACATGTTTGGTAAGAACACTGGCAGGAAACAGCCCTCACAGAAGGGAAAGCTCCTGCAGGCTGCCCAGGTTCCTGCACCCTTCCTTCTTCACAAGGACAATGCCTGAGACCGAGCTGCTGCTGCCAACAGGAAATGCCAATGAGCAGTGACGTGGCCCGCAGCCCAAGGGGACAAGTGCTACAGTCCTCTTGTTAGTTTTTCTTCTCAGCAAACTTTGAACAGTGGCCAAAAAACATGTCTTCATCTCCTGGGCAGCTGTGGAACCTCTGAGGAGCCTGGAAAAGGAACAGATTCACCTCTGAGGGTTGACTGTGTGCAGAGCCCTATGGCAGGTACCGGGTGACTCCGGGAGGGGTCTTAAAGGGTGGGAGGGAAGGGTTCTAATACATATAATCCCAAGTGCCCTCCATAGGATGGAGCACCGATTCCCCATGGCTGGGAGCCAGTGACTCCCTGCTCGGGTCCTGTCCTTGCTGTGGTACCCCAGCTGTTTGCCTTTCTCTAGGCCATCCTCTTTTGGTCACCAGGAGGCCTTGGCAGGGTGGTGCCAGAAAGCATGAGCTGGGCTGCCCAAACTCCTTCACTCGAAATCTGTGAGACCTAGGCTAATTCAGTGTCCTGAAGGTTTGGGAGGGAAAAATCAAAAGCTTGGTTTTCAACAAATTCAATTAGACATGCCTGTGGAACTCTCCAGCGGGAAGCTACATCTGGCTGTAAAACTTGGGAGATTGGTAACCTAAAGGAAAGAGAGAAATTCTGAAAAAAAGTACGACTTCTATATCAAGGTTGAATCAGAAAGAAACAGAAAACCTAAACAGACCAATAAACAATAAAGAGATTGAGGTCATAATTTAAAACCTCCCAACAGCTGGGTGCAGTGACACAGGCCTATAATCCCAGCAGTGTGGGAGGCTGAGGCAGAAGGATTGCAAGTTTGAGGCCAGCCTCAGCAACTTAGAGAGACCCTATCTCAAAAACTAAAAGTGAAAAAGGACTGGGGATGTAACTCAATGGTAAAGCACCCTGGGTTCAATCCCTAGTAAAAAAAAAAAAAAAAAAAAAAAAAAAAAGCAGACTCTCTCAACAACGAAAAGCAGCCCAGAACCAGACAGCTTTTATAGCTGAACTTGACAATGTCAAGGAGGAATTAATACCAATATTTCCTAAATTCTTCCAAAAGCCATAATACTTCCTAACACATTTTACAAGGCCAGCATCAGCTTGATACCTGTGCCAGACAAAGACAACACAAGAAAATGAAACTACAGGCCAATAATTCTGATGAACATGGAGGCAAAACTCCTTGATAAAATATTAGCAAATCAAATACAACACATCAAAAAGATGGCACATCATGATCAAGTGGGATATATCCCTGGCATGCAAAGCTGGTTTGGCATATGCAAATCAATCAGTGTGATACATCACATTAACAGGCTGCAAGACAAAAACCACATGATCACATCAATTGATGCAGGAAAATCATTCAACAAAGTTCAATATCCTTTCTTGATTAAAAGAAAAAATTCTGAAAAGTTTAGGTATCAAATATGATAGAGGCCTAAATATAATAAAGGCCATTTATGAAAAACCCATTGCAAACATCAAAATAAGTGGAGAGAAACCAAGCTTTTCCTCTTAAGATCTGGTAAAAAAAATTGTTTTTGAAAAGTTAGAAAAAAATGAGTAAAATGCATACAAATCAAAAACGAAGAAGATTATCATTTGCAGATGGCATGACTCTACACACAGAAAACTCCAAAGACTTTTCTCCAAAAATCGGTGAGATCTAATAAGTGGTAAGGTCACAAGACATAAAATCAACATATAAAACTCTGTGATATCTCTCTTTTTTTTCTCATGGGGGAATTCTAGGTGTTGTGAGAAACAGACTGGTTGAGAAGCAGCAAGCAGCACTCAGAGAAGAGGAGAACTCCAAACTATTTTACTTTATACCGATGGGCCCAGAGGAAAACAAAAACTCCAAATTCTGTGCCCTGATCCACAGTTTCTCACAATATTTATAGTTATCTGACATCATCTTAGACCCATCCTATCACTGGGGCTTTTTCCTCTTTTTAAAATTTCCTAATCTGTGTGGCTGAAGGCTTTGTGCAGGGTCTCTACCATAAAGCATGCTCACAGTAACAGATAAGAAGAAAGGCGCTTTTCACAGGCATCTATTACATCTCAGAGTCCTAGGACAGTAATTTACAATCCAAAAGGTAGGGACCCCGGGTTAATTAGGCTTCTTGGAGACAGGTTGAGAGAGGGGAGCAGAACTGACCCCTTCCCCAGGCACTGGTCTCTTACCATATGTTTTTGTAATTTCATTTCACAACCAGGACTGGTTTTGCCATCACATAGGGATTGAACCCAGGAGTGCTCAACCACTGAGTTAATCACCAGCTCTTTTGTTAAAGTTTTCTTTTATTTCAAGACAGGATCTCACTAAGTTGCTGAGGCCAGCCTCAAATTTGCAATCCTCCTGCCACAGCCCCCCAAGAAGGTGGGATTAGAGGCATGGGCCACTGTACCCCACAAAATCCATGGCATTTCTATGCACAAATAATGGCCTAGGGGGGGAAATCAAAATCTCACAATAACATCGAAAAAATTATAATACTTAGAAATAAATTTATCAAGAAGGTAAGAGATATGTATACTGACAACTGTGAAACGTTAATGAAAGAAACTGAAGAAAACACAAATGAAAATACAGTTCATTCTTATTAGGAAGAATTAATATAATTAAAATATACATATTAACTAAAGCAAAATACAGATTAAACTCAATCTCTACCAAAATCCCTTCACAGAAATGAAAAAAATCTTAAAACCTGTATGGAACCACAAGAGACCTTTATCTGAATAAACAAAGGAAAGCAATTCTAAGAGGAGAAAAAAGTGGAGGTTGCACATTTGCTGATTTTTTTTTAAATAGTTTTTTAGTTGTCAATGGACCTTTATTTTATTTATTTATATGCAGTGCTAAGAATTGAGCTCAGGGCCTCACACATGCTAGGCATGCTAGAGCTCTACCACTCAGCCCCAGCCCCAGCCCCAGCCCACATTTGCTGATTTTATATAGTTATTTTTTATTCTTCAGTTAAAACAGCACACTCAGCTGCAACTGAGAAACAAACTAGTCCAGGATGCCAAAGGTCCCGGGCAAAGGACCAACAGGTGCTGTTATGAGCAAGGTGGGTCTTCTCTCAGAGGTGGTGTTGATGATGGGATGGTGTTGATGATGGGATGGCCATAGAAGCTCTAGATCCTCCAACACAAATTCTGGACAGTAGTAGGCAGTCCAACAAGTTGTACCCATGTCCCCAGTCTCCAGCTTTCCTTATTTCTGCTCCCTTGGCCTCCACGGTGCACAGGTTGGTTTACTTGGACCTTCTGCCTCATCTTTCTTCTTTTGCACTTCAGCCTGTGCATTTGCTGCTTGGCTCTCATGGCACAGAAGTTTCCAAGAAGATGGTGGTAAGGCTGAGAGAGCGCATTTGCTGATTTTAAATTATTTAAATTATACCACAACACGACAGTATCTAAAATAGTATGGTGCTGGCATAAAAAGAGACACATAAATGGGGTGCAGTGGTGCATGCCTATAATCCCAGCTACTTGGGAGAATGAGGCAGGAGGATAGCCAGTTTGAACCTGGGAAGATTAGCAAGACCCTGGCTCAAAATAAAATTTGTAAGGGTGGAGGATGTAGTGCAGCAGTAGAGCACTTGGCTAGTTTGCATGAGGCCCTGGGTTCAATCCCAAGTATCACAAACACGGCATGTGCATGCACACACAGACACAGAGACCAATGAAATAGAAAGCTCAGAATAAATCCAAACATATATGGTCAACTAATTTTCAGCAAAGGCACCAAAAGCCATAGTGGAGAAAGGATCAAATAATAGTGCTAAAAAGAAACAGGATTTCCATAGTCAAAAGAATGAAATTGAACCTTCCTCTTATCCCATACACAAAAATCAATATGGAGAAAAGACATAAAATCTGAAAACATAAAGGTCCTAGAAGAAAACACAGAGGAAAAGCTACTTGACTGCTGGGAGCCATTAGCCAAGTAGGTATGACAATTTCCTTGCCAGCGTACCCCATGTTGCTGACATGTTGCAGTGACATTGAATGTAAGTGACCTTGCTCAAGGACCAAGGCAGATTAGGGTGTTCCCGGTTTTAAGATAATCTTGTTTAGGGCGTTCCCAGTTTAGGTTCCAGGTTTAAGGTTTAAGATTATTCCTGCTGGGAATAGGGCGTATCCTGCTGCCTGAGTTCCCCTTGAGTTCTCACGGGATTTAGACAGTATATTTTGGAGATAGAAGCCCAGTGGAGGTGGATTTGGGCAGAGAACGTGGATTGGGGCAGAGAACGTGGATTTCCCCAGAACGTGATTGTAGACGGCTGGTGTGAGTTCGGGAATAAAGAGTTGCTGTTTGAATCTACAAGCTGTGTGGTGGCTCGTGATTGTGTGCCCAGCCAGACTGTGGCATTTGGCAGCCCGTGCGGGGAACTTCTGAAGCTTGGAGGTAAGTGAAATTGCTTGCCCCTGAGGAAGAGCGAAAGAATGGGTGACCAACTCAAAAAACAATGTGTTATTGTTTTGATTTATCTTGTTTTTGTTTCAAGCTGCCTATCCCTAGAAATTTCTCAGGCAAACTGGAAAAAATGGTTGACTAAAGGTTTGAAGTTTGTCGGCCCTGAGGAAGAGAAAATTGATACAACGATTTTTTATTCCGTTTTTGTTTCATTCAGTTTCGGCTTTGTTTTGTGCTATCTTATTGGGTTGCGTTATCTTTATAGTAGATTAGAAATTAGTAAAAAACAAACTGAAAAGATGTTAAGTAAATTGTTAGAGGTTCAGACCATGGAGAAAGACATTTTAGATCAAGCAAAAGAGAAGGTCTCTCGAGCTAGTCAGACAGAGGAAGAAAATTTAAAGGAAAAGGGGTTGTTAGGAAAAAGGCCACAACAGGAGGCTGTTACTAACTCCATTTTATCACAAGAGGGCGTAATTCAACCAACAGCCCCACCGATGGAGACAGCTGAGTGGCCCTCAAACCCCGTAGTTGATAAATGGGATCCTGAGACAGGACCTCAAAGATTAGCATGCCCTGTACTTGAACAGGCAGGAGGGCAGCGAATTCACCGTGCTTTAGATTTTAAAACAGTGAAGCAGTTAAAGGAGGCTGTAACAACCTATGGCCCCCAAGTTCCCTTCACGGTAAGCATGGTTGAGTCCATTACTAACTTGGACATGACGCCAGCAGATTGGGCTAGCATGTGTAAATCTGTACTAAATGGAGGACAATATTTGTTATGGAAGGTTGCCAATGAGGAATTTTGCACGGAGACAGCTAGGCGAAATGCAGCAGCCGGTTACCCTCAAAGAAATCGAGATATGTTGTTAGGAAAAGGACCTTATGAGGGTCAACGGCAACAAATTGAATATGATCCTGCTATATATGCACAAATTGCTGCAGACGCAGTTAGGGCATGGAAGACTTTACAAGGACATGGAGATTTACAAGGTCAGCTATCTAAGGTAATACAGAGAGCTAATGAACCTTACGCTGACTTTGTAGATAGGCTAATTCAAACGGCTGCCAAAATTTTTGGGGATACAGAACAAGCAATGCCATTAATAAAACAACTGGCTTATGACCAAGCAAATCGTTGCTGCAGAGAGGTTATTAGACCATGGAGACATGAAGATTTAAACACATATATTAAGTTATGTAGAGATATTAATGAACAAGGGCAAGTCTTGGCAGCTGCAGTACAACAGGCTTTAGATGCCAGGCCAAAAACATGCTATGATTGTGAACAAACAGGACATTTTAAAAGGAATTGCCCCATAGGAGGAGGGTTTAACAAAAGTAGGTATCAAAGGAATAGAATACCGGGTATTTGCCCACGATGCCATAGAGGGAGACATTGGGCTAATGAATGCCGTTCTCAAACCACCATAGAAGGTACTCCCTTATCAAAAAACGGACAAAGACCAGGTATTTATCCAAGATATCGTGGAGAAAGGCATCAGGCTCCATTGCCAAAAAACGGACAGGGGGGCCCAATGCTCCGGGGCCCACAACCACAAATATACGGGGCAGTGGAGGATCCCAGCAACACCATCAGGGTAGTGCCCAGGACACATTGTCCATTAAATCCCTCATCAGACAAACCCGAGGGAGCACAGGGTTGGACATCTGTGCCTCTGCCAGAGCAGTATTAACTCCAGAGATGGGAGTTCAAATCATTCCCACAGGAGTAAAAGGACCTCTTCCCCAAGGAACAGTAGGCTTATTATTGGGACGTAGTTCATCTACATTAAAAGGACTTATGATAAGTCCTGGGGTAATTGATCCTGATTATGTAGGTGAAATAAAAATTATAGCTAGTTCTCCAAGAGGTATATCAGTAATTTCACCTGGAGATAGAATAGCACAGTTGTTAATAATACCCAGCCTACATAATAAATTTCCTAGTCATAGTGTAGAAAGAGGTTCCAGGAGATTAGGCTCCACAGGTGTAGATTGGGCTATGTTGTCTTTAAATTTAGATTCTCGCCCAATGCTAAAACTAAATATTCAAGGTCATGAGTTTAATGGGCTACTGGACACAGGAGCTGACCTTAGCATCATATCTCGTCAAGAATGGCCAAAACATTGGCCATTACAACAAGCCACTCAAACGCTTCGAGGCCTAGGAGTGGCGACTAATCCCCATAGAAGTTCTATGATATTAGATTGGAAGGATCCTGAAGGATGTGAAGGAACTATACAGCCATATGTATTGGATCATCTTCCTATAAATTTATGGGGACGAGATGTCCTAGATCAATTAGGTTTGACGTTAACAAATAACATCAATCCTAATGCGCCCACTACTAGGGCTAGACAAGGCTTTAGGAAAGAAAAAAGATTAGGAAAACAAGGGCAAGGTATAGCAGCACCAGTACAAATAGATCAAGGAACAGACAGACATGGGTTGGATTTTCAGAAAGGGCCACTGAGACAATCAAAATTACTTGGAAATCAGAAAGACCAGTGTGGGTTCCTCAGTGGCCCCTGACTAAAGAAAAGATACAAGTAGCCCATGATCTGGTCAAACAACAATTAGCGGAAGGACATATACAACCTTCCATATCTCCCCATAATACTCCCATTTTTGTCATCAAAAAGAAATCTGGTAAATGGAGATTGTTGCAAGATTTAAGAGCCATTAATAATGAGATGGTTATTATGGGACCTGCTCAATCAGGGATTCCTCAATTGTCTGCTTTGCCAAAAACCTGGCATGTTTTAGCTATAGATATTAAAGATTGTTTTTTTTCAATTCCAATTCATCCCGAGGATAGTCCACGTTTTGCATTTACTATCCCTGCATTAAATCATGAAGGTCCTGATCAGAGATATGAATGGAAAGTACTCCCTCAAGGGATGGCTAACAGTCCAACTATGTGTCAAATATATGTTAACAAAGCAATCCAGCCACTTAGAAATCAAAATCCTGAACTACAAATATTTCACTATATGGATGATGTATTATTGGCACATAAAGATAAAAACATATTGCTGGAATGTTATGCCACACTTACAAACTTATTAAAAAATTATAATCTAGAGATAGCAATAGATAAAGTACAATTAAATTTTCCAATTAATTATTTAGGAGTTCTATTATCCTCAACCATGGTCCGTCCACCAAAAATTCAAATACAAGTAGATCAACTCAAATCACTTAACGACTTTCAAAAGTTATTGGGAGACATAAATTGGATAAGGCCTTATCTAGGTATACCAACAGGAGAGTTGGGACCTTTATTTGATATTCTAAAAGGTCCATCAGATCCAAATTCACCCCGCATGTTAACTCCTAAAGCAAGAAAGGCATTAAAAATTATTGAAACATATATGGAAAACATACATTTGGATAGAATTGATATAAGTTTGCCTTTATTATTTATTGTACTACCAACAAAAAATATTCCTACAGGAGTATTTTGGCAAGAAGGTCCATTATTGTGGATACATTTATCTTATTCTCCTAACACTATTCTTACTAGGTATCCTGAGGCTGTAGGACAATTAATACTCAAAGGAATAAAAGCAGCAAAGGGAGTGTTTGGAATTTCTCCCAATAAAATTATTACTCCATATACTATGGATCAAATTGATGAGTTAGCTAATGAGTTAAATACTTGGGCAATAATCATGTGCAAATCTAATGTTTCATTTGATAATCATTTACCATCTAATCCTTTATTGTCTTTTTGGTCATTGCATCCTGTAGTTTTTCCTAAAATGACAAGAAAAACACCTATCATGAATGCTCCAAATATATTCACTGATGGGTCAAATAATGGTACAGCAGCAGTAGTTACCCCTGATCAAACTTTTACATTTTTAGTACCCAAACAATCAGCTCAAAAGGTAGAGCTTAATCCAGTTTTACAAGCTTTTTTGATGTTTAAAGATTCTGTATTTAATTTATTTTCTGATAGTCAGTATGTAGTTAATGCTATAGTATCTCTTGAAGATGCTGGTAGGATTTCCCCTTCTTCTACTGTTTTCTCTTTGTTTTCCACTATACAAAGTCTAATCTGGGACAGAAAAGATCCATTCTTTATAGGACATATTAGGGCACATACAGGATTGCCTGGAGCCCTTAGTTTAGGCAATGATTTAGCAGATAAAACTACACATGACATACATATTTTCTCTACATTTGAAGAAGCTACAAATTTTCATAAAAGGTTTCATGTTAATGCTAATACTTTACAAAAGCATTTTAAAATAACTAAGGAACAAGCCAGACATATAATAAAACAATGTCAAAATTGTGTGACATTTTTACCACAAGTTAATCTTGGAGTCAATCCTAGAGGACTGATACCTAACCATATTTGGCAGATGGACGTCACACACTTGCCAGAATTTGGAAAATTAAAATATTTACACGTTACAGTCGATACTTCTTCTGGATTTTTGATGGGCTCCCTTCATGCCGGAGAAAAAACTAAAGATGTTATAGCTCATTGCTTACAAAATTTTGCCACTGTGGGCGTTCCTAAACAGTTAAAAACCGATAATGGTCCTGGCTATACCTCTACCTCTTTTAAACAATTTTGCTCATCATTTGGTATTACTCATATAACAGGAATCCCATACAATCCACAGGGACAAGGCATAGTTGAAAGAGCTCATCAAACTATTAAAACATACTTATTAAAGCAAAAAGAGGGAATTGGAAGGGGGTATATATCCCCCAAAGATAAACTTAAAATAACGCTTTTTACTCTAAACTTTTTAAATTTGGATTCATAAGGACTTAGTGCTGCGGAAAGACATATGTATCCAAAAAATGTACATAAGCCTAAAGTACTTTGGAAAGATATTCTAACAGGACAATGGAAAGGTCCTGACCCAGTGATTGTCTGGAGTCAGGGTTTTGTTTGTGTGTTTCCACAGGGAGAACAGCAGCCGATTTGGATTCCAGAGAGATTAACTAAAACAATTTCTACAGATCGAAAAGAAGATGATTTGACTCAAATCCATAACAGCTGATATCCAGAACTCCAGCTTGGCCATTCTTACATCTGTGACAGTGATTAACCAGTGATGCAATTTTTATTTCCTTGCCAGTGCACCCCATGTTAGTTGTGGTAGTGCTGGCATATCTTTGCTGATGGTGTCACCAGTGATGCAATTTTTCCCAAGGAGCCGTCAATTGGCTTGGTGTCGTGGCATTTCTGTATCCTCCTCCCTTCTGCTAGTGATGGTCTAAAATTTGGGGGCCAATGGCTTATGCTGGACCGGTAGTCAGTGACGGGTATGATCCAATTGCAATGGTATCAACCTAAGACAGGAGGCTGACGCCTAAAGGTCAGTTTTCCGATGACGGGTAAGAACCATATGTTGAATTGGACAACCTACCAGGCACGGTCCATAAGCCACATTAACCTCACTCCCCCACTGGCACCAAGGCCAAATTTGGGGGCCAACAGAGGTGAGGCAAAGAACCTCACCCCCCCCCACTGGTGCATAGACCTATCCCCAAGTATGGCTGTATGCTGGACCGGTAGTCAGTGACGGGTATGATTCAATTGCAGTGGTATCAACCTAAGACAGGAGGCTGACGCCTAAAGGTCAGTTTTTCCCATGACGGGTAAGAACCATATGTTGAATTGGACAACCTACCAGGCACGGTCCTTAAGCCACATTGCTTGTTGTTTAATTAATCAGAAGGGGGGAGATGCTGGGAGCCATTAGCCAAGTAGGTATGACAATTTCCTTGCCAGCGTACCCCATGTTGCTGACATGTTGCAGTAACATTGAATGTAAGTGACCTTGCTCAAGGACCAAGGCAGATTAGGGTGTTCCTGGTTTTAAGATAATCGTGTTTAGGGCGTTCCCAGTTTAGGTTCCAGGTTTAAGGTTTAAGATTATTCCTGCTGGGAATAGGGCGTATCCTGCTGCCTGAGTTCCCCTTGAGTTCTCACGGGATTTAGACAGTATATTTTGGAGATAGAAGCCCAGTGGAGGTGGATTTGGGCAGAGAACGTGGATTGGGGCAGAGAACGTGGATTTCCCCAGAACGTGATTGTAGACGGCTGGTGTGAGTTCGGGAATAAAGAGTTGCTGTTTGAATCTACAAGCTGTGTGGTGGCTCGTGATTGTGTGCCCAGCCAGACTGCGGCATTTGTGCCCAGCCAGACTGTGGCACTTGACATTAGCCTTGACAGTGATTTCTTGGATATCACACCAAAAGCTTAAGCAACAAAAGCAAAATTAAATAAATAGGACTACATCAAATTAAAAATCTTCTGCATAGCAAAGGAAACAATCAACAAAATGAAAAGATAACTAGAGTTTAGGGAAATTTTTTTTGCAATACTCATACCATGTAGACCAAGTGTAGTAGGCTGTACTATCTAGTTCATGTAAATTCATTGTGATGTTCACACAATGCTGAAATCACTTAATGATGCAGCTCTCAGAACATGTCCCCATCATTAAGTAACACATGACTATCAGATTGTGGTTAATATTCAAGATATACAAAAACTCACATGACTCAACAGTAAAAAAAAAAATATGTGTGTATACACATACACACACACACACACACACACAGCCTTACTAAAAATAAATGGGCAAAGGGTTTGAATAGATTTTTCTCTCCAAAGAGGACATAAAAATGGCCAAATGTGGGGCTGATATAGCTCAGTCCGTAGAGTGCTTGTCTCGAATGCACAAGGCCCTGGGTTCAATTCCCAGCACCAAAAAAAAAGGGGGGGGGACAAATGTACATGAAAAGGTGCTCAAAATTACTAAGAATTAGAGAAATGCAAATCAAAACTCCTATGAAATACCACCTCCCACCTGTTAGGACAGCTATTATCAAAAACACAAGAGATTAAAGCTGTGTATGGTAGCACATACCTGTAATTCCAGCTACTTGGGATGCTGAAGCAAGAAGTCCGTGAGTTGGATTGGAGGCCAGTGTGGGTCATTTAGCCAGACTCTGGGAGTAGGGGTGTTTTATTTAAAAAAAAAAAAAAAGCTGTTTTGGTTTGGTTTGATTTTTGGTACTGGGAATTTAACCCAGGGGTACTTAACCACTGAGCCGCATTCCCAGCCCTGGGATAACAAGTTTTAGCATAAATGTGAAAAAACAAGAACTGACTATATGCTGTCGAATGAACTGGCACAGCCATTATGGAAATTCCTAAATTAAAACTAGAACTACCATTTTGTCCAGCAATCCCTCTTCTGGACATACACCCAAAGGAAATGGAACCACTCATGAAGTCCTCTCCCCTCCCATGTTCACTGCAACAGTATTCACAATCGCTAAGATGTGGAGACAACCTAAGTGCCCAGCAGTGGACGAATGGCTAAAGAAACTGTGGAGCATGTGCACTGCATACACAATGGAATAGTATTCAGCCTTTTAAAAGGAGGAGGTTCTGCCGTTTGCCACAACATGGATGGACTTAGAGGATGTTGTACCAAGTGGAAATAAGCCAGCCACAGAAAGAAAAACATTGCATGCTCTAATACATGAATTGTGTTTAAAAATGAGTTCAAAATATTAAGAATAAAACAGTGGTCACCAGAGTTGAGGTGTAGAGAAGGAAATGGAAAGATGTAAATCAGACACTACAAAGTAGCGAATATGTGGGATGAACAAGGGGGAGACCTAATGTATTTAGGACTTTGACTAAAAGAGTGGATTATAGCTGCTCTTATTGGGGGTGGGATGGGGAGAGTAGGTAACTGTGAGACGACTGTGTTTCTCTATAGTAATCATTTTCCTATATATGTACCTTAATTAAAAAAAAAAAAAAACTGGGGAAAGAGGTCTGACTGGAGAAATGCATTTGGGAGGCACAGGCCGAGTATGTATAGCCAGAAGACCCAGGAGACCTCCCAGGGGACAGGTAGGAAAGAGAAGCAAGAGCTGAGCCATGTGTCTCCCCATCATTGGCTGAGGTTCCTCTTCACACCTTCACACTCTTTGGACTTTTTCTTTCTTATTTACTTTTGTTTTTTGTGGACCTGAGGCTCCTCCTAGGCAAGAGAATGACAGTTGTAACTTTTGCTATTGACATGTGCCTTTCTTGACCTACAGGATTTCTAAGAATCACTGCAACACTAAGGTGGGTCCCATCACCTTCCTTTTCTAGGTAGGAACACACACAAGTGTAGAGAGGTCCAATGCTCTGCCCTAAGTCACAGCTGCAAGGAGGCGGGGCGGGGGGTGCGGTATTGCAGTCTACCTTGTGCAGGCCCCAACAGCCCACACTCTTCCCATAAGTTTTTCTGTGAGCCACCAGGGCCAATGACTATAAGCAGCTTCCCTCTGACGGCCATCTCCATATACCAGTGTTTCCCACCAGACTCCCAGGAAACACAGTGGAGAAACAGAGTAGGAGGCTCAGATCCTAATCCCTACAACCTGTAAAGGGAGCATATACTAAAAACCAATGAATAGTACACTTTTAAAAAGTAAAGTTTATGGTATATGAACTGTGGTGCATATAAAGCTGGCAAAAGGATCTTTGCAATTGTGATCAAGTTAGGGAACTCCAGATGGAGAGATTACTGTGGATTACTTGAGTAGACATAAATGCAATTACAAGTATCACGACAGAGTGAGATTTGACAGACACAAAGGAGAAGGCAATGTGACCACAAAGGCAGAGAAGGATCAGGGGGATGCAGTCGAGGCCAGGCAGTCACCAGAAGCTGCAGAAAAGAAGAAAGGAAGAGATTCTCCCCCTGTCCCCCTAGAGGGAGTGCAGCTCTGCCTACATCTTGACTTTAGGACAATGAAACTGATTTCCCATTTCTGGCCTCCATTCTGGGAAAGAATCCATTTCCGTTTCTTGAAACCACATTATTTCTGGTAATTTATTACAGAAGCCTCAGGAAGCCATGCTTATTCCAAGGATACACACCCAGAAAGTTGGATAATAGGTCTGCTTTGTTGACAGGCAGGCAGAGTGATTCTGATAGACAACCTACGCACCACACCGCCCAACTGCCCAGGCAGAGACTCATAGGGAAGAACTTAAACCCTTCAACTAGAGGAACTTAGGCTGGACTTCTTTCCTCCATAGAACCCAGAGTTGAATTTCAGAGGGGTCCCCACATTGCTAAAGATTGAGAAATTTTTCAAGGATGAGGTTTTCTTCAGATTCTCAAAGGAGTCACCACTGCCTAGGTGTATAAACCTGGTCCAGGCTGGCAGGGACAAAAATAAAGCAATTTTAAAGTTTTGCCCAGACTGTGAGAAACCTGAGTTATGCATTTTCTTCCTATTAATTTAACTTCATCATGCCTCCACTGGTATTCATTTTATATAACTTCCTTTTAATCATTTTATTATTATCATTTTGGTCCCATTTGGTTAATAACATATTTCACATGTTGAACATCTCTCTGCTGCTGGACTGTAAGCTTCATGAAGGTAGGGAACCACTGTTTTTCTCAACAATATGTCCCGAGCTCCTAGCACAATACCTGTTTTAGTCCATTCTGGCTGCTATAGCACAATACCCTAGGCTGTATGGTTTATAAACAGCATAAATTTAATTCTCACAGTTGTTGAGACTAGAAAGTTCAAGATCAAGGCACCAGCAGGGTTGCTATCCAATAAGAGCATGCTTTCTGGATCATAAATGGTGACTTCTAGCTGTGTCTGCTCTCATGATCCAATCACCTCCTAAGGGTGCCACCTCCTATCCAATTGATGATTAGGTTTCAATATATGGAATTTAAGGAGATGCAAATATTCAGACCCCAGCAATGCCTAAGACACCACATAGTGTTTCATTTCTCCTATGAGTGATCATAACTTTTAAAAAAAGAATGGACCAACAAAGTAGTGTGGCCACTTTGGAAAACATTCTGTTTCTCAAAACATTCAACATAAACTTACCATATGATCCAGTAATTGCACTCCTAGATATATACCCAAGTAGAAATGAAAACATGTCCCACAAAAAATCCTACACAAAAGTTCATAGCAGCATTGTTCATAATCTCCATAATTTCCAGAAAAAAAAGCCCATCAACTGATGCATGGATAAATAAAATGTGATATATCTATACAATGTATTACTATTCAGCCCACAACAAGGAATGTGGCTAATACATATTACAACATTGATAAAACTCAGAAACATGCTAAGTGAAAGAAGCTGGTCCCAAATAGGTCAACACTGAATGACTGCAGTCATATGGAATGTCCAGAATTGTTAAGAAACAGGTTTATGATCCCTAAAGTAGGAGAGTTGAGGAGAAATGGAGAGTACTTCTAGGTAGGTGTTAGGAAGGAGTAATGAAAATGTTCTAAAACTAGTTAGTGGTGTTGATTGCCCGACTCTGGATATACTAAAAACCAATGAATAGCACACTTTTAAAAAGTAAAGTTTATGATATATGAACTATGGCGCATATAAAGCTGTCATTTTTAAAAATGAAATGATAGTCACGTCCTGCTTTAAGCAAACTTACTAAAATCAATAAGGAAATTTAAAAATTATAGCAATGTGTTTTCAAGAAAAACAGCCTTTGTTTTTCCGTGCAGCAGTGTGACTATGGGAAGGGGCAGATTCCAAAGAGACTCCGCTCCTAGGCTGTGGTCTGGATGATGTCCCTTGGGGCGGGCGACTGGAAGTGGGCAAAGGTGAAGTTGACAGCTGTGGAAAGAGCTGAGAGGAGGATGTCGGGGCGGTTGAATCCCGGTGCGTTTGCTCTTTCTTCCCGTTTCCCACCCACTCTTTGTATTGCACCCTTTTAACAACGGGGACCAAGGCCCGCTCACCTCAGGTTGCCAGCTCCCAAGCGCTTCTCCAGGACAAGGGTGTGTATTGTTTGGTTCAGAAAATGTGAATTAGTGAAGGGACAAGGTGCGTTAAGACACCCTGCCGAAGCTCGGCCCGCCCTCAGCCCGCCTGCTGGTCCCGTCCGGCTGCGGGACTCGGGCTGGGTGGCTGCGAAGAGTCTGCGGGGCTCGGGCGCCACCGCGGAGTGGCGGGGGCGGGGACCACAGCCTTTGTGCGGAGGCTTCTCCGGCTCCCGCCGCTGGGGGGCGGCCTGCACCCCGCCGACCCCCGACAATAGCGCGAGGGTGGGGAGCCGTGCGGTCCCGGAAACTTTCCCCGGGTGTCGCCGTGGCCGCGCGCGCCCGGGAGCGCGGAGCGGGGCGCGCCCACCTCTGCCGCGGCGGCCGAGGGGAGCCTGGAGAAGGGTGCGCAGGCGGCGCCCCGGCTGCCCGCAGCGGAGGAGGCTGGAGCTCCGGCCGGGCGGTGCGCGCCGAGCGGTGCCATGGGGGAGGCGCCCAGCTCCGCGCCCTCGCCCGCGCTCTGGGACTGGGACTACCTGGACCACTGCTTCGCCCGCCACCGCGTCTGCATCTCCTTTGGCCTGTGGATCTGCGCCTCCTCCTGCTGGATCGCCGCCCACGCGCTGTAATGGGGCCGGGACCCGCGCGAGGGGGTGGCGGTCTGTAGTGGGGGGATTGGCGTTACCTTCCTGCTAGTCCCTCTTGGAAACCCACAGGAAGGAGTATTAAAGGGGGGCGGGCGGAGGAGGCAGCACAAATCCGGGATCAAATCTATCATTTCTCTACGAACTGAAGTCGGATACTTCTTTCCGGATTCCACGCACAAGGAACCTCGGCTGTGAGCCAGCAGGAGGAGGCTGGGTAGTGCAGTGACTGGGGCCCCGACTGGGTTCTATTGTCAGCTCTTAAAACTGACTCACAGCGTGAGCTGAAGGAGTCATAAAGACTTTGGGCCTCTTGTGAATGGCAACAATTCATCATAAGATGGATGGGAGGATGAAATGAGGCAGTACAGGGAAAGCACTTAGTAAGTGCTCATTAAACACCATTATCACTCCAGCTCTGCCATCAATCCCTGGGGGCCTTGCCAGGTTCTTTGATGTTTCTGGCCACAGTTTACCCAGAGCTCTCCTAGCTGCTGTGCAGTGGGGATGGTGATGACCAGACTCTGGCTACAGCTTTTGCCTTTGTCTGTGTAGCACCTTTAGTGTTTTGGCCAGTGGTCAGGGTAGCCTGGGTTCTATGGGTGAAGCCTCCAAATCTTTAGCCACTCTGTCCTGGGCAAAGAAATCCAGAGGCAATGCCAGGATAGAGCTGCCAAGTATTCCCTGGTAGGGGGGAATGGACCAGCAATCTCCAAGAGTGAATGGAACCAGCTCACCCTAGAAGTGCTCTCAGACACTTGATAATGCTCCCAGTGACTGGAACAAAATAAAAGACTGTGGGCTTAATGCTGTACCATTCACTCACCCTATCCCTGCCACACCCCATGAGGTAGGCACTGTAACTGCACTTACAGAGGAGGAACCTGAGTTTCTGAGAGAACAAAGCACCAGCTCCTATTACAAAGGGCAGACTTGTGAGGACTGAACTGTGGATCAGAGAATGGGAACTCAGGAGACCCTGCTTCATGATTACCTTTGCTCCTCGCAGTCACCCTCTGAGGTCAGCGCTGTTAGGCATTTTACCCACATGGAGGCCAAGGCTTGGAGAGGTTAAGGAACTCCCTTGAGAATGTCCAGCTGGCCAGTCTGAGAGTAGGGCCTCTGCATTCTCACCCTGCCTGGAGCTGAACCTGTCTGTTCTCGGGACCCCGCCAACCCGAACCTCCAGCTGTCTTAGGGTAATGTGTGTGGCCATGCGGTGTGTGGCCTGGTCAAGGATCTCTGGCCCCTGAAGCTGGAGAATGGCTGAGAGCAACAGGGTACAGAGCAAGGCCTTTACACAGGAAGCCTGAAGGCCTGCTGTCAGCCTGCCTTGTCAGCATAGGCCTCACTTTGCTCCTCTCTCAAATGGGAGGGTTGAAATAAATTATTTCTCATTTGGCTCCAACTCTGAGAGTCCCTAATTTGAAAGTCCTAACTCCTTGGCCTTGAATTGGTTTCAGGATCCAGAGCCCAGGTTAAGGGTGGATGTTCCCACTATGAGCTTTGGGTTTGGGCTGGTGGGTCAGGAAACGTTTAGGAACCCAACAGCCTTCCATCCCCATCCATCATTCCCAAGGACTGAAGCTCAGAACCTCACAGTAGGGAATGGGTACTAACTTCTGGTTAAAGGAAATGAAACCAGAGCTGTTGTCAAGCCTCGGTTTTCCCCAGAAATGTAACAAGGAAACATCTAGAACAAATCATGTCAGAGACCCAGTCAGTGATCCTGCCAGAGAGACCACTGGGCCCTTCCATCCTGTCCTGCCCTTCTGGTTGTGTTCCTGGGCATGTGGGGGACTGAAAGAGCCCTAGGCAGAGAAGCTGGTAGCAGCTGAGGATCTAGGTGGAGGGAGGGCAGCCCAAAGTGCTGGGTAAAGAACATGCTCAGGTTGGACACAGGCCAGCCGAGGCCAGCCACCCAGTGGCAGGGATGGATCGGAATTTCATTTCGATTCCAAAGAAACAAGTGTCTTTTCTTTTTCTTTTTTTTTTTTTCTTGGCGATATTGAATCCAGGTATCTGCAAATGTTGGGCACATACTGAGTATTGAACCAGGTCTTTGCATAGGTTAGGCACCTAGCTACCTCTACCTTCCCAGCCTGTTTTAAGTATTATTTTGAGACAGAACCTTGCTAAATTGCTGAGGTTGACCCCGAACTTGTGATCCTCCTGCCTCCACCTCTCGAATTGTTGGGATTACAAGTTTGCACCCCTGCATCTGGCCAAGTTATCTTTTTAATTTATGCAGTTAGCTCTGCAGTTAGAGCAGTGCTTAGGTGACTTCTTGCTTCCCTTTTAGAAAGTAAAACCCAAGAGCCAGCTTGTCAGGGTGGAGAGGTGGCTCATTACATGGATTTGACCTGATTTGGAGGAGGAAAGTCACCCTCTTCATTAGAAGGCGGTGGTGTCTCCACGTGGGTGAGCTCTGGTACCAGGGATCAAACCCAGGCCCTCGAGCATGCGAGGCAAGTGCTCTGCCACGGAGCTGCTCCCCAGCCCTGGCCTGGGCTTCTTGACCAGAGGCTCAGTGTTCTTCTGATCTTTTCTTCCCCGTCTGTAAAGTCAGTCCAGAAACACCTACTGCGTACCTAGGGGAGAAAGTGCTTCATAGAGACGCAGAGTCACGTTGCCCTTTTTAGACATCTACTGAGACTCACTGCTCCTGTGTTCTGTGCACACCCCGTCACTCCAGGCTTCTCTACCTGAGATGTACAAAGAAACATGGGCAGGGTCAGTCCCCACTGTGCGCCGCCTGCTGCCTCCTGACCAGCCTGTGCGACACCGTTGGGGCGATTCTGGCCAGACAGCTCACGATCCAGGTATGTTGGGCCCCACATGGTGGCAGCCACAGTGGCTTCTGTTATCTTCCTTCCACCGCAAGGCACTTCCCCCTCAGGGCCTGTGTCCTTCTGTTCCTTCTAGCGCCCATCAAATGCTCTTCTCCCTGATGTCCATGTGGCTCACCACTGACTTCCTTCAAGTGTCTGCTGAAAGTCATCTTCAAAATAAGTCCCCCAACCCCCCGTGTAGAATCATAACCCACCTCCTCCTCCAGCAGTCCAGGGCCCCTCATCCTGCGCTATTTTTTCCACAGCTTAACCCCTCATTCACCACATACTTACCCTTATTGCTCATTGTCCATTAGCCCCACCAGAAAATCAGCTTCACAAGGCAAGGAGTTCTTTACCATCTTACCCACCACTTCAGAAAGCTTATAGTAGATGCTCAATAAATAGTTATTATGGTTGTTACGGTTTTTAAAGCTCTGAGCCCAGCCCCAGCTGACTCAAGGGCAGCTGAATCCTTTCCCAGCTGCTTATGCGGGCTTTGGAGCAAGTGAGAAGCCATCTCTAGTTTCCCGAAAGTCAGGCCCTCACACAAACCTCTGTAGAAGCGTCCTATCTGCAAACATCTCCTAAGGAAGACTTGCTGGGTCCCACTGCAGGGACCTCATGGGCCTTGTGCCCACCAAGGTGGAAGTAAAGGAGGTGACCTAGTGGTCAGGACACAGGTTGCGAGACTTCTAGGCCCTGCTTTGAGCAGTGTTCTCTCAGAAGTAAACCCCTTTTTTTATGGGTGCTCATTCCATAGAATGAGGCCCCATTCAAGTCCGAAGATAATAACTAATGTTTACTAGATACTTAACTATATCCTTTCATGTATTACCTATTTAATCCTCAGACTCTCCTATGGCATGTGCTCATCTCCCCCCTTCTATATAGGTGGAAACGGAGGCATCAAGACGTTAAATAATTTCTGAAAGATCACCAGCCAATAAGTAGTGTCAGGATTCCAACTCCACCACGCGGGCTCCTAACCTAAGTGTACTGTCGTAGTCACTGGCACCTTTGTAGGTCCTTTACTCTCTCCAGGCGCTGTTCTAAGCACTTTCCACCAATTATCTCAAGAAATCTTCTCAACAGGTTTTGGGGAGGCTCTGTTATGCCTGTTTCACAGGTGGGAAAACTGAGGTTCAGGGAGATCAGTGGTTGGGCCATAGTTAGACAGCCATGGAATGTGTGCGGAGCCAAGCAAAGGGCTGGGTTCTTGTCCTATCTCCACCTGTGGGCATCTGTGTAACTTGGGGTCAGTTGTTGGAGGACGCTCCATGTGCTCAAACATGGGTGGGAGGGATCACTGGACTGATTATACTGGGGCAGGGGGTCTTGGGCTGATAGCCACCATAATTGCTGGGAAAAGACGCTCGAATGCCAAGACTGTTTCCGTCTGCCCCCAGGTTTTCAGTGGTGCCTACCTAGCCACTATTGACTTAGCCAACTTCATGTTCATCCTCTTCCCAGTCTGTGGATCCAAATTCAAGTCTCATTCGGGTGAGCATGTGGCCGTGTGCTCCTGTCTTCCTTCAAACATTCATTCATCAGTTGGCTTGGTGCCTGCTGCTTGTCACACCCTGAACTGGGCCCCAGGCAGGCACAGACAAATGAACGAGGTCCTTGACATCTGCCAGATGAGACAGCCAGGGCCCTAAGCTAGTCTCTAATCACCAGTGTCAGCTTGGAGATGTGTGCACACTGTGGGCAACCAGAGGGAGGGAACTGGCTGCAGGTATCAGGGAAGCGCTCAATATGGAACTGGGAGCCCAGGAAGGGGCAGTCAGGTGAGCAGAACAGCCTGGGCCAGGGCTAGGAACAGGGATGAACAGCACATAAGTCTGGGTAGCCAAGCAAAGCCCCCAAACTTCTGTAAATGGATACCAGAAAAAGTTTGGACCAGCCCTAGCAGAACAGGGTCTGGAATGACTGAGATGGACAAGGAGCCCTGAATATGTGAGACTGATGGTTCCTGAGAAGGGATATCCGTGTGCTGGGGTCCCTGTTCAAATGAGGGTTTGCTTGTCCCAGTGAGGGATATACTGTGCCCCCAGCTGCTCCATGCTGCCCAGAGGAGAAGTGTTCTTAGATGCTCAGAGGAGTGTGTGTCTTAGATCTCAAGTGAACTGTCAAAGACTTTTCTTGTTGCTGTTTGCCCTGCTTATCATGCACGAGCCTGGTATAGACTGTTCATTCATGGGTGCATTCATGAAACTTGGCCCAGTTCTGCTCTGTGCAGATTATGGAAATGACCAGGGCATGGTGTCCATCCTTGAAGTGAAGGGCACCAATTGTTAGGGGAAAAGGGAAGGCATCTCAAAGAGGTGGCCTAACCCCAGGGGCTTGAGGTGGGAAGGACCTGGCTGCAGCACAACATGCCAGCTCTTCCCATGCAGCCACCTGGCAAGTTCTAGGTTCCAGAAGACACATGGGATTTTGGTGTCTCTTGCAGGCCGACACACCAGAAAGAGGAAGAGGAGGAAGCAGCTCAGAGCTGGCGTATTTGCCCTGGCTCTGCCTCTGAGCCTGGGCCCAGGCTGGGCTCTCTGGGCTGCTGTTCCAAAGGCTTCAGCTCTGGTCCGGGGGCCCCAGCGGAGGCTGCTGGGAAGCCTGCTGCAGGTGAGGCTGAGCCCCCTCAGTGAGCACACAGGGTAGGGAAGGTTGCCTCACTCCTTGGGGTCCCTGCTTGCTGAATGCCCTGGGTGCGTTGGGAGTGGGGCTGGGGGCCAGTGAGCCCTTGCCATTTTGGGAAGGAAACTTCTAAAAGCAGAAAAGTGCCCATCAGGTTCTTTTGCTTCTTGGGACACATGGATGATCCCATAGAATGCTGAGAATGTCATCTATTCTTGCAGGAAAATACCGAAGTCCTCGGCTACCTGCTGGGTGTCATTGCTGCCTTGGGCGCCTGGGCCTCTCGGATACCCCCACTCTCCAGAATCGTGAGGCTGGGGTGGGGCTGGGGCTATAGGTCATGTGGCAGGTTCCAGGACACAGGGAGCATCCTGGAGGCTCCAGGTCATCCTGGAGCTGTGGTGTCACTGTGCATGTGACACACATGCACTTACATTTCTCTGAAGAGCTACAACAAATGACAGAAGTGAGGGTGTGTATACAGGGAGTGGGCAGCTGAGCCAGGGTGTCCTGAGGCCATCTGGGGGCTCTGATGGAAGGCCCACTGTGTTCTTTCCCTTTCTTCTTTTTTTTAAATGGTCCTGAGGCTTCATTCATGCTAGGCAAGCTAGGCAGGTACTTTACCACTGAGCGACATCCACAGTCCTTTTTATTTTGAGTAGGAGTCTAAGTTGCCCAGGCTGGCCTTGAACTTCAGGCCTCCTGCTGCAGGCTCTCGAGTCACTGGGATTATAGACATGTGCTATCACACCAGCCTGTTTCCCATTTCTTATAGCCAAGGAAAAGCAGACGAGGGAAAAGCCACTGGGCTGGAACAAACAAGGGTCCCTCTCAAGTGCAAAGGGCCTAGAGGTCAGGTGCATTCAGCTCCTAGGGCTCTGTAGTCCCAGAGCTTCTTATTAGCAGATGTTTTGCAAGTATCTGGGGTGAAGGAAGCCCTGCTGGCCAGTCCTGTTGGGAGTACAGATGTGAGGTGTCCTTGAAGAGCTCATAGTCTCATCAGGGACAGAATGTGCAACAAGATATTTTAGTGCTCTAAGAAAGGTAGAAAGGAAGGTTTGGTATTTTGGAAGACGAGGGAGAAGGCTCCTAAGCAGTTCTAGCAAGCAAAGAGGAGACCATCCCCGCTGCCAGGCTGTGAGCAGTAGAGAGCTCTCATGGGGGCTCAGAGGGGAGAGTGGGATATGAGGCAGCAGAGGTGAGGGAAGGACAGTTGGGCAGAGGAAAAGGTACAGGAACGTCACCATTCACAGAGCCTGAGAAGGGCAAGCTCCAGAGCTGGTGTGACAACTGCTCTGCCAGGTGTTCTTGGCAGGCTCTGACACAGGTGTTCCTGTCTCAGGAACAGCGCCAATGCTAACTCCATGAAATGTAGGAGGCCCATCATGGGGCCTAAAAAGGATCAAAGCCCAGAAGCACCATGTTTTGTTAATATATTCTTTGTTGTTAATGGACTTTATTTATTTATATGTGGTGCTGAGAATCAAACTCAGAGCCTCAAACATGCTAGACAAGTGCTCTACCACTGAGCCACAACCCCAGCCCAAGCACCATGTTTTAATAACAGAAGGGAACAGGATTCAAGGATGGAGGTAGGGACTGGGGACTGGTGCTCATTTGCCTGAAGGTTTAGTCCCTTGCTAAAGGCCAGAAACACCCCAGGGTATGACCTCACCAGCAGGTGTCCCGGCTTCAGACTTAAGAGGGGAAACAGGGAGCCCTGGGCTTAGTCCACTTGGTGGGTCTCCAGGGTGGCCTGGGGACTGGGGAGCCCCACTGCAGAAGACCTTTGACGGAGCCAGGACAGCACCCTGACTGCCTGTGGTGTTCCCTAGGGCCACAGTGGGGCCTTCAGGATGGGGAACCCCAAGGCCTCCAGTTCCAGCTGCCCTGCTGCCTGTCTGAGGTGGGAAGGCCCATGGGAAAGGGCCTCAGCCTCTGGGGCAGGGGCCAAGCCCACCCCTCCTGGCCAGGTACTCTGTACCTGACTGTGCTGTCTTGATTCACCAGTCTCCAGTGGATTGTGGCCAGAAACAGGCCCTGGAGCAAAAGTAGATGAAATGCAGACACATTCATGAGGATTCTTTTTGAGAACTAAAATGGGAGGAAATTGGCCCAAACATGCTCTTCCCTGCATTTTTTCCCATTCCTTAGCCAAGTCACAATGCCTCTAAATATGGTCATCTAGTAAAAATACTATACATAAATAGAAGTAATTTAAAATATGTAATTGTATCCAATTAATAGTTTTGTGGGGCTGGGGATGTGGCTCAAGTGGTAGCGCGTTCGCCTGTCATGCGTGCGGCCCGGGTTCGATCCTCAGCACCACATACAAACAAAGATGTTGTGTCTGCCAATAACTAACTAAATAAATAAATATTAAAAAAAAATAGTTTTGTGGACATGCATATATATTATCTAGATAGATAGATATAGATAGATAGATATATGGTGGCTCAGTACCTGTAAAGGCTACTTACATATAAATATTGCATGTTTCTTGTTTTTGAACCAATATGTTTCCATTACTAGTTCTGCAGAAATGTCCCCTTGGCTACTACCTCTCATTTTCCTGACCTTTTCTATTTGTCCTGGTTCAAAGTTGGGGGTCCCAGCAGGAGAAGGGTGGGTGTGGTGTTTTATAACTCAGTCTCACCCCTCCCCTAGCTGGCAGTCACGAAGTCCTGCAGTCCAGCCTCAGGAGCAGGGGCACTGAGATGGCAAGGACCTAGCTCGGAGCTCTGTGAATGTGTAAAGAGTGAAGTCATGCTCAGCAAAGGCACTCTACCAGGGGATGGGTCTAGTGTGACAGGGCCCAGAAGAAAGGGTTACTTGCTCCCCCTCTGGTGGAAGGGCCCAGGGAAGGTTTCCTAGAGTTTAGTTTAAGCCAGGTTTTGAGGGATGCGTAGGAATTTGTGAGGCAAAGGAAGCAGCTTGAGCAAAAGCTGAAAGCCAAACAGAGGCAGCACGGCCCCTGGAGAGTGGCTGGGGTGGAGGGCTTGCCCCGGGCCACCTGCTGTGCCACCAAGGGTCCTGGGCCTCAGGATCTGGGGTTCCCCTGCCACTCCCCTCCTCTCTCTCTCTGCCCAGTGCCGGGGGAAGTCATTCTCCTACATCCACCTGTGGACACGGCTGCTGTCCGCCCTGGCGGGCCTCCTCTACGCCTCAGCCATTGTGGCCCATGACCGGCAGCCCGAGTACCTGCTTCGGGCTACACCCTGGTTCCTGACCTCCCTGGGCCGAGCTGCTCTGGACCTTGCTGTATCCACCCTAGGCCCCATGGGTGGGGGAGGGGGGAGCTGATTGCAGCCAGAGGAGGTCTGTGTCTCACCCCCATACTCCCTCCTTCCCTCTTGTCGGTAGAACTCTTGAGAGATGGGGTGGTTTGAAGCCTGGGACAGGCAGGCACAAATGCGATTATTTGTGGTTTGGTGCTTCCCCTTTTTAAAACAAGAAGAATTTATCTCCTGGTTGGGGCTCTCTGAAACAGCAAAGAGGAGTGGCAGGCTCCTGGCCCTGTGGTCAGAAGCCTCAGGTGCTAGGCTCAGTTCAGCTCCCCAGGGAGTATCTCCTCCGGATTGGTGCCACTCTCGCCACTCCCATGAGCCCTGATCCCAGCCTTTCTCCCAGCCCTGCAGGCCCTGCTCAGGGAGTTGCTCCCTTTCTGCTCTGCTCTCTGGAGCTGGAGTCTGTGGTGCAGGAGCAAGGATCAAAGCTGACAAATGCTGCATCTGTTGGTGACTGCAGAGCGCCTTTCTGGTTCTCCAGGTGTGCCTGATGTGCTGGTACCCAGGTGACCTTGACATGAGCGCTTCAAGGGCAAGCTAAACTCGGGCAGTGGACTGCAGGTTTGCTGGGGTCGAGGGCAGTGGTGACGGAGTGCGAATAACCCAGCAGGGTGGTCCCTGAGGTTGAAGGCTCTGGGGAGACTCTTCCCTTGCCTCTCCCAGCTTCTGTAGCCCCTTGGCTTGTGGCCTCATCATCTTGGTTTCTGCCTGTATCTTCATATAGCCTTCATTTCTTCATGCATCTCTGGTGTCCTCTCTTCTTATAAGGACTGTGGTCATTAGATGTTAAGACCCACCCCAATCCACTGCGGCTTCCTCTTAAATGATTTCATCAGCAAAGACCCTACTTGCAAATTAAGGTCATATTCTAAGCTCCAGATGGATATGAATTTTCAAGAGACACTTGCAACCCACTTTATGTTCTGTCACTGAGAGCCAGTCAGGAAAGATGTTTTTCAAAATGTTTTTGTTTAATGAGTGTTTGCCAGGGGCAGGAGTGCAGAGAGAGACCTGACCCAGATGAGCACTCATCTGGGGACAGACAGGCAGGATAATTCTGGGAAAGGAAGGGACAGGAGCCCAGGGTGAGCAGGATGGAGCAGGGGCTGCTGGGGAGGGTGCATGTGGTGTGAGGGGCAGTGCCGGGCAGCTGGAAGCTTTCCACTTCCTTGTCCCTTAACTTCCAAATCTCAGATCATCTTCCTTTCGTGTGTGATGAAGAGCAAGATGAGGCAAGCCTTAGGATTCTCCACAGAAGCCAGAGAGAGCCCCGACACCCAGGCCCTTCTGACCTGTGCAGAGGAGGAGGGAGAGAACCAGGAGGCTGGGACCAAGGACAAGGTCTCTCCTGGGAAAACCTCTGGCCCCACAGAAGTGTTTACTAGCTGGAGAGTCTGAGAGCCTCGCAGAGGGCTGGGCTTGGGAACTCTGGAAGTCCTTCCACCATTGGCCAGCTGGTCACTTAAAAAGCTGCTGTTTCTGTCCAAAGCTAAGTGACCCCAAATGCAATGGAATCCTTTATCTTCCCAGTTTTAAAAGTGTATCAAGTTTATTTAGTGATATACTTTTAACAATGTAGGTGTAATAGTCAAATATCCACTTCCATTATTTGGTAACAAATGAACTCACAACTACAGCGCCAATCCATGTATTAGTTTCACAATTTGATTTCCATTCATATTTTATAAAAATATGTCTGCCCACTTTCATATGGGTCTTTGAGATCCATATCATCACCTCCACATGATACAGTGTTCCAGAGCCCATCACCATACCAAGCCGTTTGGTCTGGACTTTGTGAGAATCTGTGTGCAGTGCTGACTCTAGAAATTTATCTTAAGCCATAATGACCATGTGCTCTTTGTGATCACTGCACTGTAACCACACTACACTTTAGTTGATATTACTAAAAAACTGATCTTCAGAAATTTCATTTACAATAATGACCACCATTTATGATTTTGTTATACCACTAGTAACTTATTATGTCTGAAACAAATGTTTGTTTCCTTCACATGTGTTTGTTACTAGGGAATAACACTCTACCACTGAGCCACATCCCCAGCCTTTTTTGAGACAAGGTCTTGCTAAGTTGCTCTGGCTGGCCTTGAACTTGTGATCCTTCTGCCTTTTTTTTTTTTTTTTTTTTTTTTTGGTGGTGGTGCTGAGGATTGAATCCAGGACTTCACACATTCAAGGCAGGAGCTCCACCACTGAGCTGTGCCCCAGACTTTTGCCTCCATTTTTAACAATTCAATCATGTAACCTCTACAAGTAGCCAGAACTTATTCTAATTAAGGCAATTTGTCTTCATCAAAAGAACTTGATTCTAAAGAGTCGAGACAGTAACCCATAATACAGGAAAACTTGTAAGGACTTAAATATAAGTCAGCTCCCTCTTTACTAATTTTTTTGGGGGGGAAATATTTTTGCCTGTTACCTGAGCTACCTTAGGTTCTTCTCAGAGAGAGTGGGAATGAGACTGTGAGCCAATATCCTTTGTGGCCAGGAAGAAGGAAGAGGGAGGTGGACGGTGGGTGTATTTGAACAGGTAAAAAGTAAAGCTGCTCCTTGGAGTATTTCAGGCTTACCATTGTGATCTGAGTTAATAGCTAGAAGACAATGGTGTATATGACAAAGGTAAAAGCCTTTTCTTTAGGCTTTACGAAGCTCCTAAGCGGAAGTTACTTTCATTCTATTCCAGCATGGGGTATGAAATCATACCCCAAAAGGAAAGCCAAGGATGTAAAGTTCTGCATGTCTGAGTATTCTGAATAGAGAAGTAGAAACCTTTGGAATCTCGAAGCAATCCTTGGCAGCAGTGATTCTCAAAGTGTGGTCCCTGGACCAGTCTCACCTGCTAACCTGTTAGGAATGAAAATTCTAGGGCTCTGGTGGAGTCCAGCAATCTGTATTTTAACAAGCTCATGCTAAAGATTGAGAACCCCTGCTTTACAAAAGCATTTTTTTTTTAATTTCCAGTACTGGGGATTGAACCTGGGGATACTCTATCATTGAGCTGTGTTCCAGCCCTTTTAACTTTTTATGTTGATATCATCTCTTGCTAGGTCATTGATGCTGACCTGGAACTTGTGATCCTCCTGCCTCAGCTTCCCAAGTAGCTGGGATCATAGGCACTCACCACTGTGCCCAGTTTACAAACGCATTATTTAACACCACTGCAGTGAATCCCAAATTCTGTAGCCCATTAGAACCACCTAGGAAGCTACCCAGCCCCAGGTTCCATCCCATGCCAATTAAATCAGAATGTCCTTGGGTGGCAACTAAGCACCAGTGTGTTGCTTTTTAAGATCCCTAACTGATTTCATTGCACTGCAAAATTTAGGAACCACTGGCCCAGGGGTGACCTCAGTAGAGAGCACATCTTACAGGAAGCCAAAAAGTGAAATTGTACCTTAAAAACAAACAAAATGCCCTAGGCGTTACTTTAAATAAAATGGGGACCTCATTTCTAGAAAATCCCTTCTGACTTTAAAATTTCTTTCTCCCTGTCTCCACTTGAAAGACTTCAGATTGGGTGCCACTCACCACCCTGTCACACTGCAAGTCACTGAAGATGATGGCAGCAATCAGTCATTACATGGAGCTGACCGTCGAGCCTATACAGCAGGTGAGTGGCCAGCCTGGGCCATGGCTAAGTGTCCATAAGGGTGGAAATTAGTCCTGGAAGGCTTCCTGGAGGAGATGATACTTTAGCTGATAGGAACCATGTGAAAAAGGATCTCTCCAAGGTTGCAGGTGGGACAGCTGGAGGGGAGCAGAGTGGAGGAGAAAGGCTTTTCCTCTACCCTCTTAGGTATAATGGCTGAGGATTATGAATCAAACCAACAAAAGACAGAAATGAGTAAGAGAGAGCACATTTTAGTTACTTGTATGCGGAAGTTCACGAAAAAAAACTATGGCAGGAAAAGGGGTTTGGGGCTTCTGGCGCTGGGGAGCAAGTTAAGGAAGACAAGGGAGGAAGTGTATGGTGATTAAGGGTTGTCTTGTTAATGCAGCAAGTCTCTAGTGGTGAGAGTTGTCTCTGGAAGTGGCTCTTTTTCCAGGGAACAAATGTAAGTTTCCTTTGTAAAAATAAATTTCCTTTACAAGGAACATTTATATCCATGGGTTCTACATCCTTGATCAATTCACTATAGATCAAAGATATTTTTTTTTAAAATATTTATTTATTTATTTTTCGGTGGACACAACATCTTTGTTTGTATGTGGTGCTGAGGATTGAACCCGGGCCGCACGCATGCCAGGCGAGCGCGCTACCACTTGAGCCACATCCCCAGCCCCTAGATCAAAGATATTTGAAAAAAAAAAAGTATTTCCATACTGAAGATGTAGTCTTTTTTAGTTGTCATTGTCTCCTAGAGAACATACTATAGCAACCATTTCCATGGCATTTACATTGAATTAGATATTAGGCGTATCTAAGAGATGATGTAGAGCATATGGAGGAGGTGCAAGGGTTATATGCAAATACCACGCCATTTAGCCAAAGGAGTTGAGCTTCTGAGGGGTCCTGAACCACTTCCCCATCGATGCCAAGGGACAACTCTTCTTTACTTGTAGGCAGTTAGGTGCATATCTTCTCCACTTGTGCTGGTTTTCATTTGTGTTTAACTCAAAGTAATCCATATGCCAACGAGGCATATTTGAGGTTCCCTACTCTATTATCCTCCCAGAATAAAGGAGATAAAAAGGTACAGATCCCCACCCAGGGAGGCTAACGATCACCCTGAGGGTGGTGGGAGCCCCACCTGGGAGGCTTCAGTGCTGGACTTAGGTCAGTTGTGCATTTCAGAGCCTCACTGGGCCTTGTTGGGTAAGCAGGAGAGAGTGCCTCAGCCTCCTAAAAGCAGGGCCATCAGCCAGGGCAGTGGTAAGTCCTGGGAAGAGGGGTTTGACTTACACCAAGGCTGCAGCAGGAGAAGCAGAGGTGGAATCGAGAGCTGGGAAGCAGAGTGTGTGAGGGGCCAAGCATGTGGGGTCAAGGGGAAGGAGGGCTCTGGGTGACTCTCAGGGTCCTGGCCCACACTCCAGGTCCTCAGGTGGAAGAGGGTTGAGGAAGAGGGAAGAAGTTCACCCCATCGTCCTACTATTCCAATCAGACTGTTCTTGTCAAGGTCATTAGTGACCTTCCTGTTGCTAAATCCAGTCATTTCTCTTGTGATTTCTGTGGTCCCCGTGTTCCTGGCTTTCCCACCACGCTCATAAGCTAATCCTTCTCCATGGCTTCTGCTGGCTCCTCCCATCAAGCTTGGCTTTAGAGTGGGGGGGGCCCTTCTGTGGGTGTGCTCTTGAGGACCACAGTCCCAGCTCTTGCTGGCTTCCCTGGTTTGCATCTATGTCCTTTTCCTCTCCACTCAGTTCCAGTCCCAGCTGCCCAGATGCCTGTTTGGTGGCACCACACAGCATCTCACACGTTTGCCTCCAACACAGAATTCTGGATTTCCTGCCTATCCTGGCTTTAATCCCATTTTCCTCATCGTGGTAAATGACACCCTTGTCCATGCAGTGGCTCAAGCCAGAAGTTCCTTCCTTGGCCTTGCTACACCCCCATGTCCACAGTCCATTTATGGCTCCTGTAAATGCTTCCTTTAAAATAAATCTTGAGGGCTTAGGGTATAGTTCTGAGGCAGAGTGCTTGCCTAGCCTGTGCAAGGCCCTGAGTCCCATCCCCAACACAAACAAAATAAAATGAGATGAAATGAAATAATAAAATAGGTCAGCAGCTTCCTAGCTGGTCTGCATCACTACTCTACCTGTACCAGCAGCCAGAGGATCTTATGCAAACTATTACTGTCTTGTCCTTGATTAATACACTCCTCTGGCTTTCCTTTTCATGCGGAATAGAATCTAAACTCCGGTTTTTTTTGTTTGTTTTTTTGGTACCAGGGATTGAACCCCCAAGGGCACTTAACCACTGAGCCACATCCCCAGTTCTTTTTTATATTTTATTTAAAGACAGGGTCTCACTGAGTTGCTTAGAGCCTTGCTAAGAGGCTGGCTTTGAACTTGCAATCCTCCTGCCTCAGCCTCCTGAGCCTCTGGGATTATAGGCGTGCGCCACTGTGCCAGACAAAAATCTAAACTCCTTTCAGAGACTCCCAGGCTCCCCAGGCCCAGGCCACGCCCCCTTTGCTCCCCCTGTTCTCTCCCTGCTTCACTCCTCTCCAGCACTGCTTCATGGGGTGCCCCACCACAGAGCACACACCAGCCCACCGTGGCTGCTTCTTGCTGATCTTTGTCACCTTCCCCACAGGCCTTCCCCAACCCCCAGACAGAAGTAGCCTCCACTGCTCTGTCCTGTCACTTTGCTGTCTCTGGAAGTTCTCTGCAATGCTCTTCCCCTGCCTCTTACCTTTGTTAGCTGGCCATCTCCTGCTGGGAGGGAACTTTGTCTCCTGTCTTGATGGCTCCCAGTGCCTGTAACCTGGGAGTCATGGCCCCTGGGTAAAGGGATGTTTTGAGCGCATGCTCAGCAATGTGGTCCCTGCCCAGCTGCCCAGAGGACACTAGTGCTGGGAGTGAGTTTGGCCTGACCGATAAGCTTTACTCCTGGCCATTGTTGTTCCTCGGATGTTGGATGCAGCCACCCCTGTGTGAAGGTCAGAGTTAGAGCATGCTGTCACAATTAAAGAGTCCACTTCAGCCACAAAACCATCCTTCTGACCATAGGGAGGAGGGTGGGTGGGTTGTGGGAAGCCCTCAGGAGGACACAGGGAACTCTGGTGGCATCTGGCCAAAGCTTTGCACTAGACGATTTTAAATTATGGAACTAACTTCTGAAAAAGAAGCAGTGTGCGAGGCGGGCACGTACTGTGTAGTAGAGAACATGCCTGGCACACACAAGGCCCTGGGTTCCATCCCCAGCACCGCAGAAAAGAAAGGGCAAAAGGTATGTTCACTATAACTGATTCTGTAAGTCAGGGTTGCCTGGGTCCCTGCTAGGGGCGCAGGTTCCTCTTTCATGGGGAGCAATTGAAGCCCCCAGCTGGTTTGAGCTTCTGCCCGCCTCTTCCGTCTGTGTCCACCAGAGGGCGAGACCAGGGGGGAAGCCCAGAGCCTCACAGTCCATCCAGCACCGGCAGAAAGCCCTTCCCGGGGCTCCTGGGCTGGCACTGCAGCCTGCTTACTGAGTGAGGGCTACTTGCCAGGCTCTGAGCAAACAGTAACCATGAACACTACCTGGTGTGTCTTATAGAATAGAGTGCTGACCTAAATCCTTTACAAAGATTGGCTTTTTTACCCTCATTGTCAACCCTTGAGATATTATTCTCATTTTACACACAAGGAAACTGGGGTACAGAAAGAGTATGCAATTTGCTTAGATCACACAGCTTAATGGTGGTAGATCCAGGATTGAGACCTGCTTCTACCTGAGCTTGTGCCCTGCCCCACTATGCTGCCCATCCTCTAAGTGAGCACCATGGCTGACTCCAAGTAAGTGCTTTATAAACAGTTGTTAATATTAATACAAATTATCACAACAGCCCCAGAAGTAGAGACTATTATTAATCTATTTTTTAATCTTAACTAATAATAATTATGTTGAGTCACAGAGCCAAGCATGGTGGTGCACACCTGTACTCCCATCTATACAGAGGCTGAGGCAGAAGGATCATTTGAGCTGGGAGTTCAATGCCAACCTGGGCAACATAGCTAGACCCAGTCTCCAAAAAAAAATCCAGGTGCAGTGGCGCAAGTCTACAATCCCAGCAACTTGGGAGACTGAGGCAAGACAATCATGGCAAGTTCAAGGCCAGCCTCAGCAACTTAGTAGGATCCTGTCTCAAAATAAAGCATCCAAAGGGCTGGGGATATAGCTCAGTGAGAAAGCACCCCTGGGTTCTATCCCAGCACAAAACCAAAACAACAATAATAACAAAAAACTTGAGGCACAAAGAACTTAAGTAACTTACCTAAGATTCCACAGTTAGGAAATCACAGAAACAGGTTTCAGACTAAGCCTATCTGAGTTGGGGGCCTGAGCTTTTATAAAGAGAACACACTTCCTCTGCTGCCATATTGTACCTGCTCAGTGATTTTCTGGTTTTACCTTTTTTCAATGAGATGACCCCAGTGGGCTAGGTTGTGGTGAGACAGGTGCCCAGTTGGTCATATGAACTGACACGGATCCTGTTTGGACAGTCATCTAGAAATGGGTAATAAGGGCCACAGGGATGCTCCTCGCTTTCCCAGCTCTTTGCTAACAAAGAGCTGATCCTAAGGGGAGACTTTGAGGAGGTGCCAGGGGTGCCACTCATCCTTCGGGCCAGGCTTAGAGAGGGGCATAGAGCTTCATAGATCAACTGCCACATTCTTGCTTGGAGCATTTGAAAACTCCACCTCTTTGTTGACTCGGATGTGGCACGCCCTAGCAGATTATAAGATTTATCCGTTTTGCCAGGGAGCCACCTGCTTCCCCACCTCTGCCCACAGGTTCCTGTTTCAGCACCTTTGCGGGTGAGGAGAGCCGCAGGGCTGGCACCTCACCCATGTTCTTGGGCTGAACACTGAGTGGATTTCTTTGTTTATTTTCTCTGCCTGTTCCAATGACTCACATGACACTGTGCATTTAGCCCATTGAGGGCCAAGCCCTGCTTGATTTGGGGACAAACACTCCCAGGCATTCTTTTCCTATGTCCAGAGCATTTACACAGGGCCCCGTGACACTCCTTCAACAGAGGCCAGGCAGGGATCACCTCCTACTTTGAGAGATCAGGAACCTGAGACTTAGGGCTGATTTCCTTCTGAGGTCCAGAAAGCAGGTGAGCTGCTTCTGTGTCTTGGCCTGGAATGTCTGGACTCCCATGTGACTCTGAAAGCCCAGTGATGGAGTTTCTCTGAACTCTGAGGAAGCCCCCTGTGAGCCCTGCCAGAGAATAAATAGATATCTTTCAGGTTACCTCTTCCCTTACCTCCCAACTCTCCCAAATGCTCTCTCGTATGCTGCCACAGCATGAATAGGTAAGGTAAAGCCTAGATGGAGAGCATTTTTGGCAAGAGCTGACTAAGTCACACATGCACACACCCTTCGATCCACTAATTTTCCCTCTAGGAATTTATCTTCTGAATACCCTGAAATCTTGGATGTCTGGTGGAATTTGCTGCAGTCAGCACTGATTGTAAATGCAAGGGATAAGAGGCACCCTAAACCTTCACCACTAGGGGACTGATGAACAGATGATGAACACCCACAATGGTACCCCCAAGCTCCAAGGCTTCTAAGATAGAACTATCTCAAGGCATATTGTTAAGTAAAAAAAAATTTAAGTGTGTAAGAGAATATGAATTGTGCTAGAATTTGTGCAGATGGGAAATGTGTGTGTCTGTGTGTGTGTGAGAGTGTGTAAGATCTGGAAGGACGCAGGAGCTTGGGCACTGGCTGCCTCGGGGTGGTCAAGGGATGATGGTGCCAGGTGACCACTGCACACCCTTTGGACCTTTTAAAACTGAAGTGTGTGGATGCTTCAACAATTCAAAAATGAACTAAAATAAGTGTCCCCACCTGCCCTTTCCCACACACCTTGCAGGCAAGCTGTGGTGCCATGAGACTGCCTGGTGATGGACAGACCAGCACAGGAGACGCGTCACTGCAAGAGCCCCCCTCATACCCTCCCGTTCAGGTCATCCGGGCCCGAGTGTCTTCCAGCAGCTCCTCTGAGGTGTCCTCCATCAACTCAGACCTGGAGGTACAGGGTCTGCCTGCGGGCGGGTGCAGGGGTGTGTCGCTCACCCACACTCACCCTGCCTCCTCGGGCTTGCTGTGCTCTTCTCTGATCTTGCCAGTGAACCTCACCCTGCTGTTAAAGAATGCGCCTCTGCACAGCTGCCAGTCTGCCTGCTGCCAGTCTGCCTGAGGAGCTTCCCAAACCAGCTCGGGACTAAGAAGAAGGCCCCATGGTCAATCTGGTCAGGGGAACACTGGGTTTTGGAGTCTAGTCATCAGGGATCGCTTGCACATTTGAGTCTACAGAAGCAAATGCACAAATAATAAACTAGTTTTTAAAGTCTCAAAAAAATCTTAAAAGCTAGGGGTGTGGCTTGGTGGTAGCGCACTTGTCTAGCGTACACCAGATGCACCAGGCCCTGTTCCAGCCATTGCAAAAAAAAAGAAGAAAGCCTTTGTGCTTCCCCAGCCCATTTGACCATGGAAGCTTTTCTTTGTCCCAGGGAATGTCAGCTCCTCCTGCCGTGCCAGCACACAGGTTGCACACTTTATTTAGTACCTTTGCTTCATTTTGTATCTGTGAGCAAAACTCATGTCCCATCTTGGATGCACAAGTCTCATGTCTGAGTTGTCCCATAACTATGGTTTCTGGCCCCATTCAACGAGGAAGTTTCCATTTGTCTGAGGAAAAAAAGAGAATGAGGACGATGTGGTGGTAATGGGCATGTTGGCAGAAGGGGGCCAGCTGTCTCTTTTTGGTGAGGGAAGGACTGTCTTTCTTTCTGATTTTGTGTTCTTCCATCTTTTTTGGTGTTAAGTGCCCTTTTTGAAATGATGGTAATAATAGGTGGTAGTTAGGGTTGAGTTTTTGGTTCGGGTTTGGTTCCTACCCTACCTCACCCCACCCCCAGTACTGGGGACCAAACCCAGGGGTGCTCTGCCACTGAGTTGCATCCCCAGCCCTTTCTATTTTGGGACAGGGTCTTCCTAAATTGCTGAAAATGGCATTGAACTTGCTTTCCTCCTGCCTCCAGAGTTCTGGAGATTACAGATGAGTGGTGCTACACCTATTTGGTTTGGTTTTTAATGGCCTCATTTGGCAAAACAATCATTATCTATTCTAAGTTCTCAGATTTATCAAACTTATACTGGACCCTGACATCCAAAACTCAGAGCCACTGATTTGGGATGAAGTCCAGTTCCTTGGTGTGATGTTCTAGCCCTTCTCCATTTGCCCAGCCTCCTGTTCTTCCCTGCCCTCACCCAGCTCTCTGACCTGACCGTGGACTCTTCTTTGTCCCCAGGCCTTTGGGCCTCATCTTTCTAGCCCCATTTCCACGGTTCATAATCCTATCCAGATGCCACCTCCTGGGAGAAACCACCCCATCTGTGGCCTCTTCCACTGAGTGCCCAGAACACACAGTCCCTTACACACCTGTACTTTGGAGTGTGCGTGGTCTGGTGAGCTGTGGAGTGACTGTCATCTTTCTCTATTCCTCAATTCTGGAACACAGTGGGCATGAAGAACTGGGTTGGTGTTAGGACTTCTGTACCCTTTGGGTCATATTTCTGTGTCAGTTCATGTCATATATTTCTTTTTTTTTTTGTTTTTTATTCTAATTTGTTATATATGACAGTAGGATGCATTACAATTCATATTACACATATAGAGCACAATTTTTCATGTCTCTGGTTGTACACAAAGTAGAATCACACCATTCATGTCTTCATACATGTACTTAGGGTAACAATGTCCTTCTCATTCCACAGTCTTTCCTACCCCCTCCCTTCCCCTCCCTCCCCTTGCCCTATCTAAAGTTTTCCTTCCAGGTCCCCCCCCCCATCCTCATTATGGATCAGCATCCTCATATCAGAGAAAACATTCAGCATTTGGCTTTTGGGGATTGGCTTGCTTCACTTAGCATAATATTCTCCAACTCCATCCATTTACCTGCAAATGCCATGATTTTATTCTCTTTTCATGCTGAGTAATGTTCCATTGTGTATATATACCGCAGTTTCTTTATACATTCATCTACTGAAGGCATCTAAGTTGGTTCCACAGTTTAGCTGTTGTGAATTGTGCTGCTATAAACATTGATGTAGCTGTGTCCCTGTAGATGCTGTTTTTAAGTCCTTTGGGTATAAACCAAGGAGTGGGATACCTGGGTCCAATGGTGGTTCCATTTGAAGTTTTCCAAGGAATCTCCATACTGCTCTCCCTATTGGTTGCACCCATTTGCAGTCCTTCTCCCCCACATCCTCTCCAACACTTATTGTTGTTTGTCTTCATAATAGCTGCCATTCTGACTGGAGTAGTTTTGATTTGCATTTCTCTAATTGCTAGAGATGTTGAACATTTTTTCATATATTTGTTGATTGATTGTATATCATCTTTTCAGAAGTGTCTGTTCAGGTCCTCGGCCCATTTATTGATTGGGTTATTTGTTTTTCTGGTGTTAAGATTTTTGAGTTCTTTATATATCCTAGAGATTAGTGCTCTATCTGATGTGTATGTGGTAAGAACTTGTTCCCAATTAGTAGGCTCTATATTCACCTCACTGACTGTTTCTTTTGCTGAGAAGCTTTTTAGTTTGCATCCATCCTATTTGTTGATTCCTGATTTTATTTCTTGTGCTAGAGGAGTCTTGTTAAGGAAGTCAGAGCCTAATCTGACATGATGAGGATTTGGGCCTACTTTTTCTTCTATTAGGCACAGGGTTTCTGGTTTAAATTTTAAGTCCCTGATCCACTTTGAGTCCATGTCATGTATTTCTTGGATCCAGTCTCAGAACACGTGGGACACCCAGGGTCCACAGCGGTGTCTGCCAAGGCCTAAGGCTAAGGGAGAAGGAATAATCTGGACACTGAATTCATTAAGGAGAAGGGACAGGAAGGCTGCTGAGGGCAGGCTCGGGGGAGAGGCGGGCAGCATTCGCTCTGTGGAAACAAGCGTGTCTTGCTGCCCACCCTCGGCTGAGGCGAGAACTGAATAGGGAAACTGAAAATTCCGACATCTGTCCTTGTGGCTGGTTTGGCCATTTCTCTGTTTTGCAGTCCTTGTTGTTTTACTCTATTTTCTCTCCATTTTTATAAATCTGTTGTTTAAAATATGTCAGTTCCTAGGATACAGGGTCACACTCTTAAATTAAGCAAGTGGAAATGATGCTTTTGTCCATGGTAAAAGGAACAGTCAGAAGCCCAGTCCCCCCGGCCTCTCCCCTGCAGTCTTTCTGCTTCACACCCTAAAACATAAATACACTGTAGACAGGCCACCAGGGTCCTTCCTATAAAGAGATAACCTCACCTTAACCACACACACACTAGCGGATCAAATGGAATTGTGACGCTCCCAGTATTGATTGTTTAGTGTGCGAGCAGGAGGCTGTGGAGCTTTCTTCGGGTGTGTGATCCATCAGGGCTTCTGTTTTTAAAGTAACACCGCTCACCTGTTCAGGAGGCTGAGGCGAGAGGGTCGCCTGAGCTCTTCAGTTTGAGCCTGAGCAACCGAGTGAGACCCTGTCTCTAAATAAAGAAATAAACGTAATACATGTTTTTGGTATAAAATTTGGAAAACAAAAAAAAGTAAAGAAGAAAATTAAGCCCACTCAACCAATGTGGGACTGGGCATGATGGATATGCCACCTGGGTTTTGGAAGTAGTATTTTTGGAGATCCTGGTTGGCTTGTGGAGAGGAGGGGCTCAGCAGATGGTTAACAAGTCCCCCTCAGCTGGCCATCTGCTGGCTCATTCAGCAGATGTGTTCTGAAGGCCCAAATTGAAAGGGAGAATACCTGAGGACACATAGGCCCCAGCCTGCCCAGCCTGCTTGGTAAATTGGCCACAATCTGATCCTCTGCCTCACGCACACTCCTTTTAGGAGTGTGACAAGATGAAACTGTAGAAATCAATGTCAGGGCTTAGGTATTACTTCTGTGGTTTGTGACTTCTCTTGCAGAATTCACGTATTTCATGGTGTTGGACTCAGGTAACCTAGGGCATCTCTCCCCACTCTTGCCTACCCATGCCTCTGCCCTCTGCCCTGGACTCCACTGAGGTTGGCTTCCGTGGTCTGCCTCTTACTGACCTCCTGGGTTTCTCCTTGACCCTTTGGGTTGACAAGTGAATGCTTCCCGACTCCCACTGTCCAGGCCCAGGGGCCTGGGAGCTATTCTGGACTCAGAGGTGATGTGTCCATCCCCTAAGGTCCTTGATCATCTCATAACTGACCTCTGAGGCCAGGTTTTGATGTCATGTTCTCGGCCGTGTGCCCCCTATCCTGAGCACCACATCCTGCGGTGCGCAGGGGGAGTGGGGGACAGGCGGGTCTCAGCAGCACAGCGTCTCCACACACTCAGTTCACAAAGCGTCTCCAAATCCATTCGCAAGGAAGTAAGGTGCTTGCCAAAGTGCTGGGCACGGGGTGGTACAGTGAAGACTCACCAGGACTTTGTATAAGCAGCCCTGAAGCAGGAGACTAGGAGTAGAGGAGTTTAATTAGCCACACGAAAATGAGGAGAATAAGGAAAGAAAGGAGAAGAGAAGGCAGATCTGGGGTTTGAACCCAGTGTCATCCACTCTGAAACTTCCCACGTTGCCCACTGCACTCCAGTGCCTTGAAGGGACTAGTACCCAGGGGGCTTTGCAGGCCATGTCTGTTATCCATTATTCCCATTGAATGTCCTAAGTAACAGAGGGTAAAACATTGGGATTTACAAATAAATCCAGGGAGGAATGAGACAGGACCATGGAGGGACAGCTTGGATTGTTTTTGTCTTTCTTCAAAGATCCCACGGGCTGGATCGACCAGGGTACCAGATGAATGGTTTAAGAGCCCCAGTGAGACCAACAGCCATGTAGAGAGGCCATTTGCTTGGGCCCTGTAGTTTCCAGATACCTTCCAGGAGGTGCACCCTCCGCAGACCGTAGATCCACTCACTCAACCATCACCCACCCGTCCAGCACAAGGGCCGCCTCGGTCCTGGCATAGCTGTCCAAAGGGTGCACTGAACAGCTGCTGAC